GTATATAACCACGTCACAAATGTTTACTTTCTCATTTATGTGGTATTTTAGAAAAGTATTTTACAGCATATAGTAACATATATATTAAGGGTTTTAAGGTTTTCTTTTCCAGAAATCCTAAAAATCAACATATAAACCCAAGAAGTAAGAAGTGAACGGACAATGCTGAAAACTGCTATTGGAAAATAAAAAAATAGTTTATCTCAGAACATTTAAAATAAGCTATTGCATTCTTATGCTTTTTTCCTAAGCATCAGTACAGAAACTTAAAATCTAGAAGAATATTCTGCTGCACATTCTGGTAATCTAGATAGTCTTTTCTTATTTAAATAAAGACCAAATGTTTTCTAAGCATTTAGTTTTACTGACACATTATACCTGGAATCACTCTATAGGGAAAAATGCCTTAAAAAAAAAGTTTTATTTATTTAAGTAATCTCTACACCCAATGTGGGGCTTGAACTCATGACCCGAGATCAAGAGTCACATGCCCCTATGACTGAGCCAGCCAGGTGCCCCCCAAAATGCCTTTTTTGCTCAGAAATCTCCATACACCTGTCACAGTATGTTCAATGAGTATACAGAACAGGGAGTGGAGTTTACCTGGCAGCCTTGACAGTAATTTCCAAGAAGAGAAACGTATTAAAAAAATAAAAAATGGCCCAACTACAGATTGTTAAATAATGTTGAAGGATGACAATTATATTGTTCCCCAAGTACACTCTGATGTTCAAGAATGTTATGGTGTTGTAAGAGTAGCCCAGAGGCTCAGAGGTGTCACACAGGAAAGGCCAGTTACTGCCCTCCACAAAATTTACCTAAAACATGGTCAAAGTACTTCATATATACAGAAACTTATTACAGATTTAGTACTTTTGAACTGTTAAATTTTTCCTTAAACTGTTTATATTTTCAACTTGGGGTTTCCCTTCGAATTATGTTTCATTTCATTACTACCACCTCCAAATTTGCTTTGGTTTGACCTAAAATGGTCATTCAAGTGGTACTAGTGTTCTAGATTTTATATATATTAGGTATTTTCATAAGCTTCTACTAGCTGTATTATTTCTTTTAAAATAGAGAAATTAAAAAACATGCAGTATTCTAAGTGGGATCTGATAAATGCTAAGCAGAATGGAATAATTAGTTTTTGACTCTGACATGTATACTCTAGCTTATACTGAAAAAAACTAACAACAGTACCAACTTGCCCAGCTACACCATAATCACCAGGTAATCATTTCAATTAAATTCTCCAAGAATGAGGGGGTGCTTTATTAAAAAAAAAAAAAAGTCAGCTTGGGCTAAGAAGAAAACAAATACTTTCTAAATAATATGAAACAAAATTGTACCATATGGCTTAATAGAAAGGTTCTGGATAAATTATGCTTAATTGCAGGAAAAAAATACATTCATTAATAATTATTAAAATCTGGGCGCCTGGCTGGCTCAGATGGTTAAGCGTCTGCCTTCGGCTCAGGTCATGATCCCAGTGTCCTGGGATCGAGTCCCGCATCGGGTTTCCTTGCTCAGCAGGGAGTCTGCTTCTCTCTCTCCCTCTGCCTGCCACTCCCCCTGCTTGTTCTCTCTCTGTCTCTCTCGCAAAGGAATAAATAAAATCTTTAAAAATAATATTAATTATTAAAATCTGCCTATGGATGAAAATAAGGCAACATTAAGCCAAACTACTATTTTTCAGTGAACTTGACAGTTTCCTGAACACTTTTTCCTTTCTCTCTGGGCACCCACTCCTGACTTTAACCGGTCAATGCTGCTTAGTTTTTCTTGCCAGCCTCCCACATTAAAAGAGAAAGAGACTTGACCTCAGTTATTTATATTATTCACATTTGTGTATATATGATTTCCAATGTTGCATTTAAAATCTTTTATTCTAAATGGAAACATCTCATCCTTGTTTAAAGCTTTAAAAATACAACCAAACAACTGGAGAGTTTGAACAAAAACCAATCTCTCTGAGAACAGGAAAAAAAAATGGGTAAGGAGTACCACGTTTGTTTAAATTTATTTTAATTTCAATGGTGTTATTCCTACCAGGAAAAATCCAAGGTTTATTCTGGAATTGAGAAAACTGGAGGTAGGAGGAAGCTCCCCCAAACCCCAACCCAACCAAAAAACAATCCTTTTTTTCCTATCTCCCAGGGTGTACAGATGGCCTAGAACAATACAGGAGGAGACCTACTCAACGTGAGGGTGATAGAGATTTATCCCTGGTTGCTGCCACGGTCATGGCCCACATCGCTTCTCACGAGCTTCTTGCAAACCCTCAAAACGATACTGTTAACAAGACACCTCTTTCTCTCTGGCCCCTTTCATTTCCCCTCCCTTTCCCATCTGAACACAAGTCCTTCCCTTTTCTTAACACTGGTTAGACAATAAACTCTTTTTATTAAGTATCTTTAAAGAACAGCTTATCTCTTTACCTGTCCCGAGACTCCTAGGATGTGTGTATGTGAGTATGTATGTATAAATAAATAACTGGGCATAATGTGTACTATAGTTAATATTTTAGGATATGATTCTACATAATGATTTAATCTCTGCTAATCTAATATTTTAGAATTCTCTTTACTATTTCTATGTATGATAATAAAGTTTCTATAATCAAACATATTTCTTGGGGCACCTGGGTAGCTCAGTCGGTTGGGTCATGATCCTGGGGCTCTGGGATTGAGCCCCGCATCGGGCTCCCTGCTCCGCGGGGAGCCTGCTTCTCCCTTTCCCCACCCCTCAGACTCTTTCTCACTATCTCTCTTTCTCTCAAATGAATAAATTCTTAAAACAAAAACAAAAAAAAACCCAATTTCTCAGAAGTTTCAATTTTATCAGTAGAAGTATTTTTCTCTATCAAGCTAACCATTCCATACCTTTTATCTACCATTTGGTTTGGATCTCTAAATCAGGAATCTTTAATCTTTTTTTAAATCCTTAATCTATTTTGAGACTAGATCGAAAGCTGTGAAACGTCTCTGCAGAAAACTGCAGACGTACACAATATTTTGCACAGAGATTGGGTTAAAAAATTCTCTGAGGTCAGACGGCAGCTGCACTTGTGCTGAGCATAATGCACAGAGAAGCTGAATCACTGTTTGGACCCTGAGGCCAAAGGGGCACTGTGTGTCTACCACGCTCAAATAAAAAAATGTTTTAAATTAAAGTAACATCTGATTTTGAGGGCAAAAAACAAAAAAATTCTCAGGTCCATCCAGGTTAAGAACCCCTGCTTCAAGTGAATTTAAAGACCTTGAACTTACTCCTGTTAAAACAATTTTGCGAAAAATGGACATTGCTTCAATTTCTTAGATCCCTTTTTTAAAATTTTTTTATTGTTATCTTAGATCCCTTATGATTCATTTTTTTCATCTATAAACTAAAACTGTTTTCTTTTTGTTGGTTAAAAAAGAAAGGGTCAACTACAATAGAATGCCTATATAATTAATGTTTTCTTCCTTATCTCAGTTCCTTTTGGGTATGCTGTGCTAGGAAGATCTACATATATCCAATGCAAATACAATCTACATGTATCTAAAACTTATAACCAAGAGTCAGTTATTTTGGGTTCGGGCACCAGAATTGAGTTTCATTTATAGATTACAATTTAAAAATTTACTGAAGGCTAGATAAGCTTCATATATATGAAAATAAAACTGTTTCTGGAGAAATTCTGTCAGGGCCTAGCATACTGCCTTATACGCAGTAAGTGCTTAGTAAGTAAAATGGACAACATACGTGGAATGGAGTCAGTGCGGTCACACATGAACTTCACCATTTAGCAATGTAAGTCACATAGCGGAATCAACTGTAATTTTATAGTTATCACTTCCATACCAAAAACCCAAATTGTAATATTTAAGTTTTAAAACTTCAGTTTCAAATTATTCCAATGTTGTACTTCTATTTGTAAAACTATGATGGTTTATACATATGAAAACATGTACCTATTTACTCTCAATAAGTATGTAATTTGAGTAGTTTTCCTCTTGAATTGAGGGCTTTTGTGGCAATTGTGAACTTCTGGGGGACCAACTGCTCACTTTGTTGCTTGTTTTTTTAAATTAACATATAATGTATTATTTGTTTCAGGAGTACAGGTCTGTGATTCATCAGTCTTACACAACACTCACTTTGTAACTGAGTTGCCAGGAGCTGAGCTCTTTGACCAGGAAACAGAGTAAAAGATAAATGGCTTATAAAGTGGTCAAATCTATCCAGGCTTCATCAGCATCGTGCTTTAATATAAAAACCTTTTAAAAAAGCAATCTAGGGGCGCCTGGGTGGCTCAGTCATTAAGCATTTGCCTTCGGCCCAGGTCATGATCCCAGGGTCCTGGGATGGAGCCCCGCATCGGGCTCCCTGCTCCGCGGGGAGCCTGCTTCTCCCTCTCCCACTCCCCCTGCTTGTGTTCCCCCTCTCGCTGTGTCTCTCTCTGTCAAATAAATAAATAAAATCTTTAAAAATAAATAAATAAATAAATAATAAAAAAAGCAATCTACATTAAAAAAATCTCAAGAAGCTGGTACAGAATATTCAATAAATGTTTTTGCTGTTTCATGCAAATGATAAAATGTTAAATATTAAAACATTAAAAATTTTAAAGTGTAAGTTTTAGCTAAATTCTCAATTTAATCATTTAGAATATCTTATGTGACTTAATGATTTAAAAACAAATTCCATTTCTATTAATACAAATCTGCTTAGCCCAAATGAGTATATATTTATGCTTGATGTTTGCCTCTTACTACTTTTGCTCTGAGTGTCAGGCAATCAAGTAATCACAGTGCCTTCAGAATGCCAGTTTTAGAGACTTTTATCACTCAGTGAAAATAACTACTTCAAATGATATTTTCATATTAAAAAGTCAGCATAAGAATGATTTTGAGCCAACTATTTTCACTATTGACTAAAACGTTAAAATTAATACACTGTCCTGAGATAGTACTTTATGTTGGGTATATGCTGGGTTACTAACACAAAATTCTTACCTGTAATGTACATGTGTGACTGTTGGTTTCCTATACCCAAGGATCCAGGTTTGAATATCTATGGGTTCAGCTTTGGGATAAGCTATAGTTGTATCTATCATCCACTGGAGGCCTTTTGATTTGCTCTCTGAGGACAAAGCAAAAAACAACTTAAAATTGGATCAATTTTTATATTATATACAACAAATAATATAGTATAAGTAAAGCATATTGCTGTATCTTCTGCTTTATGAAAACAGGATGAACTTTGGTGTCACTGTTTTATATGATATCAAGCATTTCCTAATATGAAATTGTTGAATCTCAAACAAATGAACAACTAACAGAGCACTATTATTTATTGGATGTGCACCATTCAAGCATTCAATACAACAGTGCACTGTCAAGGTCTAATTTATATTTTATCACTCAAAAGTCAGAAGCTAAAGTATCACATCACAAAAGTAAAAACACAGACCTCAAAATAAAACAAATCCATTCACCAAATACAATACAATACAATGCAAACACCAAGATTTGTGATACTTGGAAGACATTACTAAATACTGGAATAAGGCCCCAAATTAAGCATTTTATTGACACAGGATTGTCAGTTGCTGTTCTTATTTAACACAAAGAAAATCTCCTCCCATTTTAGCTCTATGCAAATAAAACAGTAAAACTGTCCACTCTTTGGTAGGTACGACAGGTAATTACTATTATAAGAGGCTGTGGGAAAGCTCTGTTTACTTCGGTTGTTGGCACGCTGCTTTTATTCCCAGCATGGAGTACAAAGTTGAACAAGAATTGAGAGGGGAATCCACACAGAGAATGCTGATAGCCAGTCTTGGGTGACAGTCTGCCCTTTGTTTGAAGTATTTAAGAGAGCTCTAAAAAAATAAAACTTATTCTCAAACATAAGTCTAAATGTGCACTAAGAATCAATGATAATTTACTTTTGTACATCAAGTAACTAAAAAGTGACCTTAAGCTTTAAAAAATTTTAGAAATATTCTGAAGGGGAAAAATACACATAGAAATAAGTAAAAAAAATATTTAAATAACCTATTGCTAAAGGAACAGAGTTTATGTAAAGAAACACATTTTAATAAGCTATCAGTGATGTACATGCTGAAATGTTTAGAAGTATACTGATGTCTGCAACTTACTTTGATTGCATTAAAAAACAAACAAGATGGACTAATGGATTGATAGAAGGATGGAAAAAGATACAATAAAGCAAATACAGTAAAATGTTAATTATAGAATCTAGTTGGTCAGCTAATGGATATTAACTGTAAAATTCTTTCAACTTTTTATGTATGCTTAAAAATTTTTATAATAAAAATTATTGGCAAAAATCACCAGAGTTCAGTTTAATATCTATTAAATCACACAATAAACAAAAAATACTAACCCTTTTAAACCCTTTTAAAGTTAATCAGACACAATTTTGATATATATATGGATTATATATATATATGTGTGTATATATATATATATATTTTTTTTTAAGTAGGTTCCACACTCAGCGTGGAGCCCAACGTGGGGCCCAAACTCACGACCCTGAGATCAAGACCTGAGCCAAGATCAAGTCAGATGCTCAACCAACTGAGCAACCTGGGTGCCCCAGTATATGGATCATATATTAAAACAGAGATGAAGGCTTATTTGTATGGAACAGAACACTAAATAGTAAATATGAACGCTAGAGAAAATAAAATACAAAATACCAAAACAGAGAAGAAAATGGTAAAACACAAGTGAAACTAGTTTTGGGGTATATGTAACTTTCTAGAATTTCTTATAACTTTTCCTAAGCCCCTAGAATAAAAACTCTTCACCAAGGTAAGATAAATAATAAGCTACTTTGCTTTTATTATAAAAAGAAATTGTTTCTCTCTGAGAGAAAAAACATTTTCTTCATGATTGTGTGATCAATATCACAACAGCCCCTACCCTTGCAATCTAGAACACCACAGGGTATTATTGACTGGGCAAAACCGTTTAAAAAAACAGCAGTCTTTATTAGTGCAACTAATCCTATTTGGAAGATCTTTGCCTTCAAGCTTTGGCTTGGCTGACATTGCCACGGTGTCTGTCTGAAGCTATTCTGAACTTTCCTTTTCTATTAAAAGACTCTTTCAATTTGTCTTTTTAATAGATGATGAAAGATTAAGAGAGCTGACTGCCAAGCAGCTGCTTAAAAAAAAAAAAAAAAGAAAGGAAAACTCAGTGCAGTCCTACAGGCATTATCTCTATGTCTGGTCCTAACCATCATTAAAAACACATATTTCTGAGGGCCAATCATTTCCATTTTTATTTTATCTAAAGAATATATTTTTTTAAATAGCAAAGTACTACTAAGGAAACAGGCCTAGTGAGTTTCTTTCAGTCTTTTAATTTATCATTTATCACCCAATTTCACAGTGTCTCAGATAAACTTCAAAAGAGTCTTCATGCTATTGGCACAATTCTGAAAACCTTCACAGTTCACCAGGCTATCTCCAAAACAGTTGCATCTTTGAGTATGGTTTGCTTTTTCCTGGCCGTAAAAGTAATACATACTCATTATTTAAAAAAAAAAAATCAGAAGTATTCAGAAATGGGGGGAGATCATCCATAATGTTACCACTCAGAGAGGCAATCACTGCTGACATTTGGGATCTTTCCTTTCACTCATTTTCCACTGCTTATTGTTGACATATTTGAGCTCACAATGGTTTCACAAGAGTTGTATGTTCTCCCCCTCCATGAACATGATAGAGCATAAGTACTTTCCAAGCCATAAAAACTCTCTATGAACATCATTTGTAATGGCTGTGTTGTACTGTGTTGGATGGATATTTGATAATTACTTGTCTGTTCTCCCTTCTGGCTATTTCCAATTTTTTGCTATTAAAAATAATTGTGAAAATAATAATGAATAAATAAATAGATAAATAAATAAAAATAATGCTGTGATAAACCTCTTTACCATGTATGTCTTATTATTTCCTTTTGGTAAGTATTATTTGTAGTGGAATAATGGAGTCATTTATCAACACCTGAAGGCTCTTAATAAACACTGTCAAACTGCATTAAGTTCATACTCTGTATTAAAAGCAAACCAAAAAAACTTTCTAAATTTGATAAATGAAAAAAATATACATTATTACAATTTGCATTTGCATATCTATGATTAGTTTTTCAAATTAGTGATTTCTATTCCTGTACCTCTAAGCTAGCAATTCCACTGCTAGGAATCTATACTACAGACTATACTATTGTTAAGCATGAATTAACTTCTGTAAAATAGAAACATTAAAAAATTAAATTTGCATCTTCTCCCTATTATTTCTGTTTGACAAAAATTATAAATATAAAAAAGAACAACGATAATTGTTGACTCCAGATAATCCGGAGTTCCGACAAAAGAAAAAGTGCTAAAAGCCGTCATACCTAATTCTTTAGCATCTCCTCCTGCGGGACTTCCATTTTCCTGTCGTGCGACAAGTGCGCTCAAGATAATGTTTGTTGCTCCAATCCTTGGCAGAGTGACATGTGTAAGAAATGGCAAGTTATTTTTTTTGGCAAATGCTTGACTTGTTTCTCGCCTCTTCCTGAGGAAGCCCCCTTCTGGAAACAAAACAATCCATTTTCGATCTCTGTTCCTATAATTCTCTTCTAGGTGCTTTTTGAGAAGAAGAAGCTGCTGGTCACGATGAGATTTTCCCTGAGAAGGCAGACACACATATAATAAGAATAGGCACATTTTAAATTAAAATGCCATAAAATTAAATAGAAATAACAGCTTCTAAAGTAAATCCCACTCATAGACTAGAAGAGCAATTTCCCCCCATGTACTTCCCCCTTTGACCACAGTGGTGAAAAAGAAGTGATTAGCACTTACATGACATTAGCACTCCAGAAGCAAAAAAAAAAAAAAAAAATTGCTCTAATTGCCCCTGAGAGTTTACTCATTCATCAGTTCAGTGACTACTGAAGCCTTGCACTGGAACCTCAGGAGAAAGTTGAGTACTGAGTGCGTACTACTTGGCAGGCACTGTCCTACATGCTGGAGATAGAAAAGTAGGTAAGAGACCCTCATGGAGCTTACCTAAGTGGAAAAGATAGAAAACTAAGAAGTGTAAATTCAGAGAGTGATGTGTTAGGAAGAAAAAGAGTAGGAGGATAGAGGAGGTCAACGAGGTCAGGGAGAACAGCCCCAGTGAGCTGGTAATGGGAGGGAACCAGTCAAGTGGAAAGGAGAGGCAGAGCTCTCCAGATGACGAGAACAGAAAGGACAAAGGCCCTGAGATGGATGTTCCAAGAGCAGTACCAAGGCCAGTGGGGCTGATGTGTAAGGAGTGAGGAAGACAGTGGTAGGAGAGGAAATTGCAGAGAGAGGTGGGGGACAGAGAGGAAAGGCCTTGAACTTGGTAAGTAGTTTGGGATGAGAAGTCAGTGGGTGGTTTTGAACAAGGGACGGTCATGCCCTTATTTACATAAAAAAAAAAAAATCTGTTGGCTCCAGTGACAGATTCCAGCAGGCAAGTCAGGAAACTATTTTAATTCCAGGCAAGAGGGTGTGATGAGATCTGACTATGGTGTACTGATGAGAAGTGGATACGTTCAGCAGAGTCTGAAAGGAGAGCAAACAGGCCATTCTAATGGACTGGACCTTAGTGTGAGGGAAAGAGAAGAAAGGGGATGACTTGGAGACTGAAAGAGGAATCCAGAAAAATTTGTAGGAAAGCCCAAAACCCACAGACAAATATTACAAAGGTTCTTCCTTTCAGTATAGTCGATTCACTAATAATTTTCCAGCCAACACAATTACAGAAGGCCCCAAAATAATTTGTATGCATTCAGTCTTTAAATTACTCCAATGCAAAACAAGTAAGACATTTTCTTATTTTACTGAATTGAATTGATCATGATTAAGCTTTATTTATTAAGTTCCCAAGACTGCATGTAAAATATTTTTATATTCTTGGAAATATCTAGTAGTAAAGTCCAAGAGACTTTCTTTAAAAATAATACTTTTTCGGGCGCCTGGGTGGCTCAGTTGGTTAAGCGACTGCCTTCGGCTCAGGTCATGATCCTGGAGTCCCGGGATCGAGTCCCTCAGACTCCCTGCTTGGCAGGGAGTCTGCTTCTCCCTCTGACCCTCCCCCCCTCATGTGCTCTCTCTCTCTCTCTCTCTCAAATAAATAAATAAAATCTTAAAAAAAATAAAAATAATACTTTTTCCCTCATACTTTCTCCCCTCCCCCCATGTTACAGACTTTTATTACTATCTATCAGGGGGAAAAGAGGTTGCTCTTTAGAAATGAACTTGCAATATTTCTGATAATTTTGAAATACAAATCTTTAAGTATGTAGAACTTTACATTGCAATAAAAAGGAAAATGTTTCGGAGTGTATTATTTTCTACACTTATCTCCTCAAAGTACACTGATCATTTAGTATAATTTAGTGATGCCTGAGGATCATCAACAGGGTCAATTGTTATAACTGTGATAATTTCCTCAGACTCTCATGTTGGAGAGGGCTCTGCATTCCCCTAGACTGCTAAGGTGCAATGGTTGCTTCTGCTTCCTCCCCTCCAGTGGTACTCAAAGTATTACGCTAGTTTCCTTGTTAAGTTGTTCTGATCACCGTTTATTTTGTCTCAAGCTTGTGGCCAGTCCCCATTGCCACTTTCTCCTGAGGTTCCAGTGCAATGCTTTCATTCATCTTTCTGCTCAGAAGAACTAAGAGTGTTTCCAGAAGAAACTAGATCATTGCACAGCATGTGAAAAACAAAATGTTCTGTACATAAAAGTGTCTGGAGTAAAGTATATGTGTTTTGTGACACCTACAGACACCTTAGAAGTTTCTCAATACAATTCCAGCTTATTTCTGAATTTGTGGTTCTCAGATGAGGCCTAATCAGATTCATCAGTTATTCATTAAGTACTTGTATGTGCAAGGCTGAAGCTGCTAAATATATAAATATCAGATAAGTGTGGCATTACCATATGTAAAAACTCTTGTGTATCATATTTCAGTTTTTGAGAAAACCAAGCATGTGATACTAGTAGCATACCAGGGAAATACCATAATGTAGTGCTGACTTGATAAGAGGGTATGATTCTTCCTCCTACACTAACTAAACTTATCCCTAATGCTTGGGAACCATTCTCAATCTACTTTCCTCTTATCAAACTCATATTTATTCTTCTCTAAAGTTTTTCTGAGTTCATAAAAATCTGATGGAGTCACTTTTCCTACTATGAATTCCCAAAATACGTTCTTCTGCCTTCCTTTTTTCTTTCTTTTCTTTTTCTTTCCTTCCTTCCTTCCTCTTTCTTTCTTCCTTTCCTTTTCTACCTACCTTTCTATCTACCTACCTACCTACCCACCTACTGGCAATTTAGATACCTTCTCTATCATGTAACAGTGACTTGTCAATAAAAATAATAGTGAAAATACAGATGATGATGATAGTGGTAATCATGATAAAAATGATGAAGAAGGAAGCAGGCACTGTTCTGAGTGTATTATTTCATTTAACTCCCACCCTATGAGGGCAGTACCTCTTATTCTCATCTGAAAAATCAGAAAACTTGGAAAGTTTAAATAACTTGCCTGATTCACATAGCTAAGAAGCAGAAGAGCTGAGAATGTGGCAGGTGCTTCATAAACCTTTACTAAACATTGTACTGTTTAGATGGGATGAGGAGGGTAGAGATTAGAATATGTGCAATGTCACCATTTTACTGCTTGAGCATATAAATGTTGAAATTCAGATTGAAATAAATGTTTCAGAGAACAAAGATTCAGAGGAAGAGCTCCCTGAGATACTAGAGCTCTCTCCATTATAATTGGTTTTGGTATGCCTATGTTTATAATAAAGGATCACTTTGATCAGGCTTTCACTGTGAAAAAGGAATGCTCATTACTCACCTGTCTTATAAAGAAGTCTCCGTGAATTAGAGAAACAATTCCAAAGTTTGTGTACTTAAAAATATGATCCATCAACCACATCATTTGAGCAACAACCTAAAATATTTAAAAGCAAGAAATAATTACACGTTAAGTAGAAGAAACCTGCTATAGTCTAGCCAGGGCTCTAAGTTTTAAATATAACCATCTAAGCATCCTCTTAATTAACCTAAATATTTTAAATCTGGTGTTTATTTCTACAATTAAAGCACAAAGTCTCCATGAAAAATTACTGGTCTTGATTCCAAGTCCTGAAATCCCAGGTCTGAGGGATATATATTGCTGTGTAACAAATAAAACTGAATTAACTTCTTAAATTTGGACTTAAGGATTCCAAATTTGTTCTACCCTAAACAAAGTCTCTGGTAATTCTTATAGAACTTGTAAAATTATTTTGAAACAATAAAATGAAGTCATCAAATGAGGGCTATAAGTTTAATTAATAAGCACTGAGGCTTTATAAAATGTGACTTTAATGGCTAAAATATTAAAAATTATAAATTATAAATGTATAAATGTAAAACTATAAAATTTTATAAAAGTACAAAAATGTCCAAAATAAAAGAACATTCAAAATTCATTTCATAGAATGATTTATGCATTAGATTATGTTAAGAATATTTGTTAGTTTATGCAAGGCCATACTCTTTGCCAGCATAAAAATATTTGTAGCACCTCAGTTCTTAAACACAGAAATAGTATCCCTTGCTGATAAAAAAAAAAAAAAGTAATACTCATTTCACAGCAAAAGACTTTATTTCAAACAAATTTCAAAATTAAAAGTAAGTGTAAATAGGGGTCTAATTAATAAACTAGTTAATTGTTCCTCCCTGCTGAGGAAATGGCATTCCTCATTATAATCCTTAAATAAATTCATTAAAAGCTACAGCCTCAATCAAGAATGCAATAGAGCTCTACTTTGGTTTCTATGGGAATAACACATGTAAACTTCATCTCGAAGCACCAAATTATATGAACTTACATATTAGGAAAAAAATAAGCACTGACATCGCTGGTGCTTTTACAAAAACATTATAAAAGCTGACAAATAATATAACATTAAAGCTTCTGCCTTAATTTTTCAGCATCACTATATAATTCAACTACACAACTCCTACCCCATCAGCCTTACTATGTTAAATCCCTTTAAAAAATAAAAATACATGCCCAGTGAAGAAGTGATTCCCTAAGGCAATTAATACAGAATAAAATGATTGCCAACATCTCATCTTTCAGTCTTGTTTTGCTTTGTAATGATGACTACTTTGTTTAAATAAATTGAGATTTGAACTAAATGGAATTTGCTGCAAAGTGTCCCAAGGAACAAAACAAAAAGCAAGTCGCTTCAACCTATAAAATACTTGAGCTTTATACACAGTATGAAGTTTAGTGGCAATTTATTGGTTTCTGGGTTTAAAATACCAATGCTAAAGCCACTAGTTTTTATGTTTAACCTTACATTTACAGTGGATTTATCTCTTCAGTTAGAAGGGTCACCTAAAACAAATCCATTCGTAAGATAGCCAAGCTATCTTCTGAGATTTGTATGCATAATTCTGTCCCAACTTATTTTAGGGGAAATGTTACAAGTCAATAAATGTTTATTATATGTCTAATACAGTTCTTTTGACAGAAATAAAAATTCTTAGTTTTATCATCATTTGTCATAAAAGGGCATGACTCAATTCACAGATACTTATTTAAAAGGTACCCGCACATCTGGAAAATACAATGAATCCTTTGTTTCATATTCCTCAAAAGAGGGCCAGTAAACACCAGCTGCCTGAAGCAACTCTCAGTGTTTCATAGGTCTGTCACTCAGAGCTCTGTTAGGTAATTCCAAGAAACAGAATTGGCCCACATCAATTAGTCTTTATCTGGAAGCATGGGTTTTCTACATATCAAAGAATCTAGAGAGGCTTACATGAAGGACTATGTTCTTTATATCCTTCTGAAAGTATAGTTAAGTCAATGGTTCTCCTGTTTAGAAATCTGTAAGGACAATTTGGGTTGTCACGAAGGGTAGGTAGGGCGTGCTACCAGCATTTAGTGGGTAGCAGTCAGGTATGGAAAACAGCCAGCAATGCCCAGGACAGTTCAGGAAAACAGTGTTGTCCTACCAATGGGCCAATGGGACCCCCGCTAACACTGAAGGGTGCTACAAGAAGTCCCCTGAATTCCAAAAGCTATGTTACACTCACATATCGCCATTAAACTAGTATTTTTTAATTGGCCCACAATTTAGCATTAGCCTTCTTTCTTCGAATGTACCCATGGAGTATGCAATAAGTCAAGTAAACATTCTTACTGGTAAATATAAATTAATATTGCCCTATTCATATTAGGCAGGAGGGAGAGATTATGATGCTTCCAGCTTTATATTTCTAAATTACTCCTTTATGAAAAAAGATAAAAAAAATTCAAGATTTCAAATTATTCATTAATATCAGATCATAATAAAAATGTTTAGTATAACTCATCTGAAAATAAAAACAAAATTACTCTGGACAGAAAAATGAACCTAAGTCAAACTAACAGAAATCTTTTTACAAAAGGAAACAAACAAGACAAATTTTCTTTTGTCCACACAATTGGTGAATTTCAGATTACCTAATATTCTAGTTAATACAGTTATCATGCCAAACTTGGGTGAGAGTGATTAAGTTAGGCGTATTTATACTGACCACTGTAATCATTCTTTGAAATTCAAAAACCAATTAAGGACACTGTAAACCCTCAGAAAAATCACTATGAATGTAATGACCATATCAGTAAGAATAAAAATGTTAATTGGGGATTCTCTTTGATGAAAACCAAATAAACTAGGCTTTACAAAATTTTAACATCATCACAAGTAATAAATATTATTATAAGTGCAAATACATTTATACAGTGATATTCTTTTAACAGTTCAAGATTCTGAATATAAGAAAGGATTGAATTTATTCCACATTCCAGCAAGATTATGCCTCTGCTTTTCAGATAAACATGAAAAACAGATTCTACAATAGTCAAGCATATTTTACTTTACTCTCACCTCATTTTCTGACCCCTAACCCTGACCTACTGAATCAAAATCTCTAGGAACTAAACATACCAGGCTTAGTTTGCTCTGGTGTTCTGGCCAAGACTGTTTCACTAAGGAAGAAGGCCCTTGCTTCACCACTCTAACTAGGCCAAGTTTATGTCCTTTCCCTTCTACAAAGTTTTCTATACCTATCATACATGGGGAGCTCACCCTCCACTAAATACCTTTCACTTTGCAGTTAAGTACTGTTCATTATACTTTCCTTCCACCAATGGTGGACTGTTAGCTCCTTTGAGAGGACAGTGTCTTACAGGATGGTGTTCAATCCTTACAGTCACTAACCATGAATATGAAGCACTTAATAAACATCTATGGGTTTGTTTCTTTACTATTAAGATAAATACTAACTCCATTAATTGATACACTTTTTAGTTTTCTATGAACACAACCTCTTTAACTTCTAAGGTGATAATTCTCTTAATGCTAATTTATTACTTATTACTTTAATGTTAATTTATAAATTTATTATATAAATTTATAACTGAATTTATTTTAAACCCACCCAGCTGATAGATGTATTTGAGTTATCAATAGAAGCCATGTAAAACGAACAGTTCATACATAGCCTAGTAACACTTAATAAAATGGGCCTAATATTTTTCCTTTCAATTTGCTTTATAAAGGAAATCCAAAATATTTACGTTTTTTTTCTTCTAGCTAAAGATCCCCAAGATCATCTAATTCATTGACCAACTAGACTCTTCTATCTTAAACAATACTGCTTTTTGTGTCTCTGTTTTTCAAACCAGTGACCCACCACTTCACCTCAAGACAGCCCCCAATCTGAACATCTTAACTCTGATTTTGCCTCAATTACTTTTTTAAAAATAGCTCTAGGAGATATCATCCACATTATTTTCCAGTTACTTGTTTGAAAGTCTCCACATTCCTCTCCTGGAGTTGGAATTATGCTTAGAATTATATATATATATTTTTTAATTTTTCTCAATTTTCAGGAAAAGTAGAGATATTACAGTTTACATTCCAAACCGCAGTAAGATACTTGAATAGATTCTTCATTAACCTCCCCCTCCTGCTGTCTACGTCTGCCTTCAGGATGCTTACCAGTCCTTTGTCCTGGAGGCACATCATCAGAGTGCATACATCTCCTGTTGCCTGATGATTGACCAACATTACTGCTTCATCTTGTGAAACTGCTTTAATATCGTCCCCCCATTCCATCACTGGAAGAACAAAAAAAATCTGTCACTTTAGAGATTTTACATTACTAGAAACCTTATATTAGACAAACTGGTGTACATCCATGATGAAAGATCACTTAGCTAAAACTCTGAAAGTCCGAACTAAGTTTACTTCCAATAAGTATCAGGCTGTCAATGTAACATCGTATAAAGCCCCCAAATATCCATTAAAATGTAAAAATGGTCATCCTTTGATCTAGAAGTTCTACTTCTTATAATTTATCCTGCAGAAACATTTGTCCAAATAGGCAAAGATAGATGCATAAAGGATGTTTATTGGAACTTAAATATTCACCAATAGGGGAGTAGATAAGAAAGTTATGATATAATGGAAGAGTATAAATCCACTGAAAGAATAGAGAGTATCTTGATACACTAACGCAAAAAGCACTTTTATCAAGGAAATAAAGCAAATCACAAAACAATATATATAGCATGATTCCACCTTTTTAAAGAAGGAATAAAATTTGTCATTTAAAACAATAAAAAAAGTCTAGGGGAATGAATTCTGAACTATTGGTATTGATCATGATTAGGACAAGGTTTCCAGAGCTCCTCAAATTCTACCTTACAATAAAATGTGAAAATATTACAAATATATGCAAGTATTTTCACTTTTAAATAAGAAAACTAATAAAGATGTTACACTTATGAACCTCCAGACGAAAAGTCATTGTACCAGAACCTATATGTACACTCTAAGGAAAACACTGGTTATCTCTATGTAGTTATGCCTCATTTTACAGTAAATCTACTTCACAGAAAAAAGATAATTGAGCATCAGTTTTGAACATCAGGATTCTACAAGACAAAGCTTCCAGGGTTCCTCAAATGTCTGACATGAATTATGAGAGGCTGATTATACATTAGTATTCACTCCTCTCACGCACGGCTAAAGGCAAAGAAGTCAACCCGCCTGCCTGTAAGAGTTCTGGATGCAATAGGCATGGGGAGATGTGGAGCTCACCTGCTCTGCCTCCTCCAGCCTCCCTCCTTCTCCAGCCACCCTCCACTGTCATCCCAACATAGGGGAGCTCCTCATAAGAGTTCACGTGAGAAAACGGGTCTGCTAATTGTTTCTTTCTGTTAAAACCCATTTAAGCAAGGTATCTATTTATTGATTTTAAAGACCTTAAAATTTGTATTAAGGAAATTTTCAGCTGGGCTAAACATAGTCTTAAGTTGTGGGACTGCTTTGCAAAGTGAGGCATTCTAATCATTACCAACACTCAAATGTTATTACCAACACTCAAATAGCTCATACTGTATGGGAAAATTTTTATTTTAGTTTTTTTAAATGAATGCAGCATAAAACTACACTAAAGGGATGTCAAATAATCCTTAAATAGAGGTAGAACACTGGGAGAGAACCCAGCCCAGCCCCTTGAAAAAGGCAGCAGCACCAACTTTCCCTCCAGTGGCCTTTCCTTCCCAAGTTCCCAACTCAGCTCAGCTGACAACTAACTACTGAAACATATTTAAACAGCTGCTGTATCATACATTGCTGTGGGGAGTATGAATTGATACAATTTAGGAAGTCAATCTGGCAATATATATCAAAACTGAGAAATGCAGAAATCTTTTTATCCAGAAATTCTACTTCTAGGAATTCAACTTACAGATATACTTATTTATGTGCAGACTGACACATATGCAAAACTAGTTATCACAGCCTTATTTGTAAGAGCAAAGAGGAAGGGGCGCCTGGGTGGCACAGTTGGTTAAGTGACCGACTCTTGGTTTTGGCTCGGGTCATGATCTCATGGTCTTGAGGTCGAGCCCTGTGTCAGGCTCTAGGCCCAGCTTGGAGTCTGCTTAAGATCCTCTTTCCCTTTCACTCTGCCCCTCCCTCCCTTTCATGCTCTTTCTCTCTAAAACAAATAAATAAATCTTAGGAAAAAAAAAAAAAGGAGGAAAGAGGAAAACTACTCAAAAGGGAGACTAGTTCAAATTCATAGAAATTGAAAAACAGTGATGGTTTCCAGGAGAGGGAAATGGGAAGGTGCTATTCAATTAGTAGAGAGTTTCAGTTTTGCAAGATGAGAAGTTCTAGAGATTGATTACACAATAATGTGAATATACTTAACAATGCTGAACTGTACACTTAAAAATGGTTAAGATGAGGGATGCCTGGGTGGCTCAGTCAGTTGAGTGACTGACTGAGATATATTATATTTTTTGAGAAAGAGAGCAAGGCTGAAGTGGGGCTTGATCTCATGACCCTGAGATCTTGATCTGAGCGGAAATCAAGATCTCATGACCCTGAGATATTGATCTGAGCGGAAATCAAGAGTTGGATGCTTAACCGACTGAGTCACCCAGGTGCCCCTCCCTCCATCATTTTTAAAACCCAACTGGTGGCATCCCTGACACACTGTTCTGCATTTTGCTGTTGTTACTTATAGTATATTGTTCCATACTGGTATACAAATTATATGATTACATAATATTCCTTTACATAGATATAATTTAACTAGTCTCCCTTTTTAATTCTTAGTTGTGATGAAATATACATAACACAAAATTTATCATCTTAACCATTTTTTAAAGATTTTTAAAAAATTTATTTGAGAGAGAGCACACATGAATGGGGGAGGGGCAAAGGACGAGGGAGAGAGAGAATCTCAAGCAGACTCCACACCAGCAGGGAGCCCCATGGGGTGGGTGGCGCGGGTGCACTGGGCACTGGGCGTGGAGACTGCTTAAGACTCCCTCCCTCCCAGGGTGCCTGGGTGGCTGAGTCAATTAAGTGGCTACCTTCAGCTCAGGTCATAATCCTGGGGTCCTGGGATCGAGCCCCCAGTTGGGCTTCCCTGCTCAGCAGGGAGTCTGCTTCTCCCTATGCCCCTCCACTCACTCATGCGTGCTCTCTCTCTCAAATAAAATGTTTAAAAAAAAAAATTCTCTCCCTTCCTCTCCCTCTGCCCCTCCCCCCACCCCACTCACACCCTTTCTCAAAAAATATAATAAAGTAAAAAGAATGGAGGGAGATATATTTGCTAAATAAAAATTCCCCCATTGTGCCTCTGTTGACAATCCTTCAACAGAGACAGAAAGACACACACACACACACACACACACACACACACATACACACACTATTCTTTCATTAATTCATTCCTCATTCAGTAAGCCAGCACCAGGCACTGTTAGATGTTGTGGATTTAAAATGAAAAAATCAGTTGCATTTCTATACACTAAAAATGAGACAGAAGAAAGAGAAATTAAGGAGTCGATCCCATTTACAATTGTACCAAAAACCATAAGATACCTACGAATAAACCTAACCAAAGAAGCAAAGGATCTGTACTCAGAAAACTATAGAACACTCATGAAAGAAATTGAGGAAGACGCAAAGAAATGGAAAAACATTCCATGCTCATGGACTGGAAGAACAGATATTAAAATGTCTATCCTACCTAGAGCAATCTATACATTCAATGCAATCCCTATCAAAATACCATCAATTTTTTTTTCCACAGAGCTGGAACAAATAATCCTAAAATTTGTATGGAACCAGAAAAGACGCCGAATAGCCAGAGGAATGTTAAAAAAGAAAACCAAAGCTGGTAGCATCACAATCCAGACTTTAAGCTCTATTACAAAGCTGTGATCATCAAGACAGTATGGTGGTACTGGCATAAAAACAGACATGTAGATCAATGGAACAGAATAGAAAACCCAGAAATGGACCCTCAGCTCTATGGTCAACTAATCTTCGACAAAGCGGGAAAGAAAATCTAATGCAAAAAAGACAGTCTCTTCAACAAATGGTATTGGGAAAACTGGACAGCCACATGCAGAAGAATGAAACTAGACCATTTCCTTATACCATACACAAAGATATGCTCAAAATGGATGAAAGACCTAAATGTGAGACAGGAATCCATCAAAATCCTAGAGGAGAACACAGGCAGCAACCTCTGTGACCTTGGCCGCAGCAACTTCTTGCTAGACACGTCTCCAAAAGCAAGGGAAACAAAGACAAAAATGAACTATTGTGACTTCATCAAGATAAAAAGCTTTTACACAGCAAAGGAAACAGTTGACAAAACCAAAAGACAATCCACAGAATGGGAGAAGATATTTGCAAATGTCTTATCAGATAAAGGACTAGTATCCAGTCTAAGAACTTATCAAACTCAACACCCAAGAACAAATAACCCAATCAAGAAATAGGCAGATGACATGGGCAGACAGGTCTCCAAAGAAGACATACAGATGGCCAACAGACACATGAAAAAGTTCTCAACATCACTTGGCATCAGGGAAATACAAATCAAAACCTTAAAGAGATACCACCTCACACCAGTCAGAATGGCTAAAATTAACAAGTCAGGAAATGACAGATGTTGGCGGGGATGCGGAGAAAGGGGAACCCTCCTACACTGTTGGTGGGAATGCAACCTGGTGTAGCCACTCTGGAAAACAGTATGGAGGTTCCTCAAGAAGTTAAAAATAGAGCTACCCTATGACCCAGCAATTGCACTACTGGGCATTTACCCCAAAGATATAAATGTAGTGATCCAAAGGGCACCTGAACCCCAATGTTTATAGCAGCAATGTCCACAATAGCCAAACTATGGAGGGAGCCCAGATGTCCACCGACAGATGAATGGATAAAGAAGATGTGGTGTATATACATTACTCAGTCATCAAAAAAATGAAATCTTGCCATTTGCGACAACATGGATGGAACTAGAGGGTATTATGCTAAGCGAAATAAGTTAATCAGAGAAAGACAATTATCATATGATCTCACTCATATGTGGAATCTAAGAAACAAAAGGGAGGAGCATAGGGGAAGAGAGGAAAAAATAAAACAAAACGAAATCAGAGAGGGAGACAAATGATAAGAGACTCTTAATCATAGGAAACAAACTGAGGATTGCTGGAGGGATAGGGTAACTGGGAGATGGACATTAGGGAGGGCACGTGATGTAATGAGCACGGGGTATTATATAAGACTGATGAATCACTGA